AAACAGAAACTGTGCTTTTTGTTTTCTTTGGAGATGAGAGAAATAACTCATTGGGTGCAGCTGGCAATGCCTCCTGAAGAAGGAGGAATGGGATTGAGTGGGTGTGGGACTGGGGGCGGCCACGTGGCCGTGGACACTGTGGAGCCGGTTCACTGGGTAGCCACAGGCAGGAAGGCAGGCAGCTTTGAGCACGGATCACGTCCCTGTCTGGGGAAGGTGGCTTCTGGTTGCTTGTGTTTACTCAGGGGTCTGGGAAGCAGCAGTGGCAGCTGAGGGTGGGGTGGGAAGGGAGGAGCTGCGAGGTGTCCCCTGAGCCTGGGAGAGAAGATGGCATAGAGCAGGTGCCCACAGACTCTTTCTGTAAAGGACCGGGTAGTAAATAATTTAGGCTTTGCCAGCCAGCCAGTCTGTTGCAGCTCCTCAGCCCTGCCCTTGGAGCTGAAAAGCAGCCTGAGAGGATTCATAAACAAACAGACATGGAGGTGTTCCAATAAAACTTTATTTACAAAAATAGGCAGCAGGCTGGCTCTGGCCTGCTTAGACTCCTGGCCCTTGACCTCGCTTCCAGGCCAGGGGTCTTCAAAGCGTGGTCCCTGGGCCTGCAGCATCAGCATTACCTGGGACTTATGAGAAATGCAGATTCTTGGACCCCGCCCCACATTCATGGAACCAGTGACTCAGTCCCTGCACTGTTTCCAACCCAAGTTGAGTTTGTGATTCCGGAATTCTGGAAGTTAGCTCAGCAGCTAGACCCAAGAGAGAGCGAGGTGTGGGGTGGGCTACACACCCTGTTAAAGGCACAGGCATCCCAGCTCCCATCCCCTTCTGCAAGCCAGTGTGAGGACATCTTGCCTCCTATGGGCCATATTTGCTTATGCAGCCTCCATGGGGGCTCCCTGGGGATGGGCTGTGGAGACGACTCTGCTCTCAGCAGAACCCTCCACTCTGCAGCCTTGGTTTCCTGTCCACGTCCCTCAGCTACTCAGGGGAGCCTGGGGGTAGGAACTCCACTGCTTATAGGGGCAGCTTCCCACAGCAGTAGTGCTCAGCCAGTGTTCCGTGCATGAAGAAATGCACTGTCCTCTGATCAAAAGCACAACATCTTTAGGAGTTTAACGACGGTTTTTTAACGGCTTTAGTGAGATGATTTGATTTCCTGCCTCTGAGTCATCTAAGAGCAAAACGCATAAGCTGCTAATGGGCTCAAAGAGAGGCTGCCCTGGAGGCCCCTCCATCCCCCCAGTACTGCAGGGATTCAGTCACCCCAAAGCCAGGTAACCAGCCTTGGCCTCTCAAAGCTCTGGGATTACAGGCGTGATCCACCGTGCCTGGCCTGAATGAGGGTCTTTAAGAATAAAACTCCAGGGGATCTTCACCAAGCCCCACCACTTCCTCTGAGGTTAGCATGGTGCTGGATCTTCTCTGCATCTTCTATCTTTGTTTTTGGTTTTCATTTTGGTTTACTTGAAACAGGATCGCCCAGGCTGGAGTACAGTGGCACGATCATGGCTCACTGCAGCCTCGACCTCCCAGGCTCAAGCGATCCTCCCACCTCAGCCTCCTGAGTAACTGGGATTATAGACTTGCACCACCACGCCCAGCTAATTTTTTTATTTTTTTGTGGAGACCGAGTCTCTACAAAAAAAAGTCTCTATGTTGCCCAGGCTGCTCTCGAACTCCTGTGCCCAAGCAATCCACCTGCCTTGGCCTCCCAAAGTGCTAGTATTCCAGGCTGGTCCCGTTTTACTAGCACGTCTGCACATGGGCTCACATTGCTCACGCAGAGGAGACCTCTGTTATTAGGGAGACCTAGACCTGCGCTGCCTGGACCCCAGGGACAGAGGCTGTTTGTGAATCCCCTCCCTTACTTTGCTTTTCTTCCGAGGACGCCGGCTCCCTGGTGACAGGAGGTCACTGTTCTGGGGGAAAAGAAGAGGGGGAAAACAAAGCCAATCCACCACTTGGCTAAATGTCAGGTTTCCCACTAATTTCATGGGTTGCTGTGGACGGGCGGGGCTGTGTTTTGAGCCCAGGCCATCCCTTTGCCTGTGGGTGCGGGACCACATTGTTTTGGATCAAGGGTGCTTTGTCCTTCCAGAAGCCGAGCCCTGTTCCAGGCATGGGGGTGCGGCAGCGAAGGAGACCCACAGAACCACTGCCCTCCTGGAACGCACCCCCCCAGAGAGGGAACTGGGGCACCACAGACCCGTGTGCAGGCAGCAAGGGTGTGGTGTCGGCTGGGGAGTGGCAGGGACCCCTGAGCCTCACAGTCAGGGCTCATGGCGCTGAGAAGCGCTGCAGCAACACTGCAGCCAGTAGAAGGAGCCGCAAGTACAAGGGTCCACAGGCAGTGTGAGCTCAGCCTGCTGGGAAGGCCAGGGACCTGGGCCGAGGGTCAGGTGGCAGAGCGAAGGGTCCTGGGGAGCAGTGCCTGGGAGAGGGAGGAAAGAGCATGGGACCAGATTCGCTTTGGAAATAGAAGCCCCAAGCCAGCAGCCAGCCAGGTGGAGCAAGGCGTGCAGGGCTGAGAGGGTTCAGGAGGCGGTGGGGGGAGCCACTGGGAGGGGACCCAGGAGTTCAGGTGAAAGACAGCAGTGGCTCAGCCCAAGGGTGGAAGCCGGAGAGGTGGGTGGACGGCTGGATGTTGGCAGCCGTACTCATTATCAATGCTGCTGTAACAGCTCTTCACAAACCCTGCATCTTCAAACCGCCCAGAGTGGGATCTCCTGGTTCCTGTGGGTCAGGTGTTGGGGCAGAGCAGGGCTGGGTCTGCTGCTTTGGGACTGCTGAGCCGCAGTCGAGGTGCTGGCCAGGGCTAGGCTCGCCTTGGAAACCTCTGGTAGGAAAGGATCCACCTCCAGGCTCGCTTGTTCGTTTGAAGGACTCCTTTCTTTGGGCTGTTCGGCTGAGGGCTCAGCTTCTCACCAGCTGTTGGCCCGAGGCTGCCCTCAGTTCCTGCCCCACGGGCCTCTCCAACACTGCAGCTTGCTTCATCAGAGCCAGGAGGGACAGTCTCTAGCAAGACAGAAGTGGCAGTCTTGCCTTTGCCATGTTCTGCTGGTTAGAAGCGACTTGCTAGGTCCAGCCCACACTCCAGGGCAGGAATCCCAGGAGCAGGGGACATCAGTGGCATCTGACAAGCTGCCTGACTTAGGAGTTCAGTGGCAGCACCAGGAAGCTGCACTGGGCTCAAGTCAGGGCAAGGGACAGTGTCAACGATGACCCTGGGGGACAGCAGTACACTCAGGAGCTCAGAAAGTACACAGATGCCCCCTGGGTGGTCTCTTCTGCACCATGTGAGCAGCAGAACCTATACCTGCAGCTTCAGAACAACAGCTGGGCTGGTGTGGAAGGACCCCCACGACATGTAGGGTGGGAATGTGCAGTGATGGAGTGTGGAAACCCTTCTCACAGTTGTCACCTGCTCTCCAGTCCCTCCTGAGCCCATGGGCCTGCCTGCCTGCTGTCTGCCTGTCTGTCTGTCTGTCAGTCTGTCTCTCTGCTGAGGGGCTCCCCGATACCCTGAACCCAGACAGTCTCCTAGGCCTTTGTGATCCCAGAGTCTCCTGGCCGAACCTGGTTGATCTTTTTTAACCACCACCCTCTTCCCCTCCCTTATTTTGCTTTTCTTCCAGAATTTTCCCACTGTAAAAAATCCAGCAGGTCTGAACAAGTGAGGCTGGCTCCATGTATCCAGAGTCAACGACGGGCTCCCCGGCTCGGCTCTCCCTGCGGCAGACGGGCTCCCCCGGGATGATCTACAGGTGACCTCCCACCCCCTCACTCAGGCCCCCTCCCAGGGTCAGTCCTGCCTCCAGGAGGGGTTCCCAAGGCCTGTCCTCCCCTCTGGAGGAGGAAGGGCCCAAGCAGGGCCCACAGGCTTCTGCCTTCCACGGGGTTTCGAGGTGCACGCCGGTGAGCGTTTTCTCCAAGAAAGGAGCAGGGGCTTTAAAAACCCAAGTAGGAAAGAGAAAGCAAAACTTTTCCAGGGGGTTTGAGCCAGAGTAGACCCCTTTCTTGTCCCTGACCCTTCCAAAATATCTCGTTTGAGGTTAACAGAGAGCCCAACAGTGAGTGCAGGGCCAACCCCAGCATTCTGTTCCTCCCACTTTATACATCACGGGCCCTGTGGCCCCGCCAGTTTTCCCTGAGCGAGGATCACGACCTTGCAGGCCTTTGGGGAACCATGTCTGCCGGTTTCCCAACACCGGAGGGAGTGGGGACAACCAAATGTTCCCAGGGCACCCTGACCCCCTCCTTGTGGAACTCACTTCCGCTTGCAGCCCTGGGTGTTTCTGTCTGCACCATAAACAGCGCTGAACGGCAGTGCTGGCTGCGGAGGGCGTTCAGTGAGAGCTGAGCCTCTGGGGACAGAGCACAGAACCCATGAAAGATGCAGGCACAGGCAGTACCCCAGCAGCCCATTGGTCTTGGGCAGCCAGACCTTTCCAGATAATCATTGGGGCCTGAGCCAGAGCCCATGTCTGTGACAGCTACAGGGAAAGGCAATGTCTGTCCTAAAAAGCCCGGCAGGCACGTGCGGGCTTGCCAGCACGCGGGCTCTCTGCACGTCTGGGTTGGAGGGTTTTGAACCATTGCCCACAAGCGTATTGCAAAGCAAGTCCTGAAGCATGTACAATTCAAACCAACCCTCACCCGGAGGTTCACCACGGAAAATAGGGCCTGGCATGGAAGGAGCCCTTGGTGTCCAGAAAACTGGCTCCGGCTCTCTGCCCGTGGCCACCGGGTGGCGCTGCTGCAGAGCGTTTGGCACCCGACGTGCATCCTCAGAGACTGCCCTGAGCAGGCGGCCAGTGGGGGTCCAGGGGCACGGGACGTTGGTGGTGCTTTCTGACCTGCACCTGCTGGGGTTGATGCCAACTGTGGACTCTCTCTCTTCTCTCTCCCTTTCTCCTTTTTCTCTCCTCCATTGCTGTCCGAAGTACTCGGTATGGGAGTCCCAAAAGACAGCTCCAGTTTTACAGGTAACGATTCTTCATTCTCCCTAAAACCCAGCGAGCCGAAGGCCAGGGAGTGGGCGGGAGGACTGCACCCTTGCCGAGCAGGGTGTGCTGGTGTTTTCTGTGAAGCCAAAGCCCCCTGAGACCCCCAGGCTCTGCTTGTCACCCTCTGTGCCTACCCCCACAGGACACTGTGCAATGTCCTGATAGAAAATGTGAAGTCAGGTTAATTGTATGTGTTGATCTGCCAGAAGTTTGCTTTGATTTGAGCAAATGGGCTTTTGATGACTGCCAAGCTCTCAGCCAAATCTACCGTTAAAGCTTCACTCATCAGGCAGTGCGGGAGACGCCTTCCTGTGGTCGCCGGCTTGTGCTGCTTCCGTTATCAGAGTACAGGACGTGGCGAGCCCATCCGTTCCCCCTTTGCCTGTGGGTTTGAGCTGATCTGGAACTCACAGAGCTCCTCAGGCTCATTGAAGGTTAATGCCTGCTTGGGGGTGTGCAGTACTGATATGACTTAGATTAGTGACATCTTTCTCATGGGTTTCTCTGTTGGTGAATTAACAAACCGGGCACATTCACCTGGCAAGAGACCATGCCCCAGCGGGACGTGGCATCAAGATGCCAGGCTTAGGGCCCCACAGGGTGCTCTCGGGGAGACCCATTCCTCCCCCTGGGCTGCTTCTCCCTCACCTGTAACGCAGGGGATGCATGTTCTTGGTGCAGCCTCCAACCCTAGGAAGTAAAATGCCAGGGCTGCCTGGAGCCCGCGGGCAGCAGCCTCCCCACGCCTTGGGACTGTTTGGGGACTCGGCACGGCTTCTGGCAGTAGGTCGCTGGTGTGCATTGCTGCATCTTGGCAGTCAGGCCAGGAGGTCTCTCGATTTGGACCCGGACACCTGATGACAGTGCTTTGGGGGTCGTTGTCAATGCACCAGGCAGTGGGCATGGGGATGGCAATGTATTTCCATGTGGCTTTTCTCTCTCTGCCCCCGCCCCGGGCCATCGCCAGCCTTAGCACCTCTGACGGGGACCATAGACCTAAATGCTCAGAGTAATCTGTGCCACGCCTTCAGTGCCTCCTGGGAGGTCCTGCTCCTTACGGGGAGCTCTGAAGACATGGCCAACTCTTGGATCCTACTGAAATTTTGGTAGATAAGATTTTGCTTAAAATAGTTAAATCTGAACTCGGGCTTGCAAATGCTTTTCCTGGATGAAATGTTTGTATTATGATGTATGTATGCATGGTGTAACACATCCTAACAAATATACACCGCTCATCCCAGGGGATTTCATCAGTGAAACGAAACGTGTACCTGAACTGCATCCTCAGGGAGCCTGGGACAGCCTCAGTCCTCGAAGGGAAGGGGTGAGGTCCGATGAGCAGGCAGGAAAATCCCAGGTGCAGACCTGCCAGCTCAAAAGGCCTGCCCACAGGTACAGACCAGCCAGCTCCAAGAGCCTGGCCCCAGGAGGGGCCAAGTAAATTGTCCAGTGTGACCAAGTGAGAGCCTTCCAGCCCACTCACGGCCCTCAAAACCCCACAGCCTCAACATGTTGTCCATCCCCTGGGAACACTGTGCATGAGAACCTTCATTTCCAGGTGGCCTGCCCAGCCCCAAGGGAAGCTCTGAAGCTCACCCTCTAGGCTCTCAGCCCCAATTCCGGTGCCCACAGGCTCTGGCCATCCTACCCCTTGGATATCCAGGGGGTCACTTGGGTGTCTATTGTGGGGGCTCTGGAGATAACCTCTAAGGGCTAGGGTCTTTGTTTGTTAACAGGCTGGGCGCCACTCCTAGTAGGGCACCTCATCACTCCAGGCATGCCACTAAACATGGCTGTTGGATGGTTCTTTCAGTTACTTAGGCCTGGCCCTCTCACAGGGCAGAGGCGTTCGAGGCATGTGCCCTGCCCCCATGCAGCTCCCAGGCAAGGAATCGACATAGGACACTGTGCCAATCAGCTGTCCACCAAATGCTGCATAACAAACAGCTCCAAAACTCAGTGCCACACAGCAGTCGGCATCTCTTCCTTGCTCCTGTGTGTGCTGGTTGACCAGGCAGCACGTCTAAGCTGGCTCGGCTGGGTTTGTCTCCAAGCTGCAAGTTGAATCCTCATGTCCTCCATCTTCCCGTCCTTAACTGGGGCCTATCCCAGGCATGTCCTTCCCATGGCAAAAGTACCAGAGGAAAAGCAGAAACATGCAGGGTCTCTTAAGGCCTGTGGTTGGGGTCGGAGCGCTGTCACCTCTGCTCACACGCTTTTGACCAAAGTGAGTCTCATGAACCAGCCCAAAGTCAAGGGGCTGGAAATATATTGCCGCCACCAGTGGGAGGAGCTATAAAGTCACATGGCAAAGGGCATGAGTACAGAGAGGAGCGAAGGATTGGGAGCAATACTTCCATGTACCCCAGGTCTCAAATAGCTCCAGTGATCTCCAGAAGGCAAAGCACATCCTAGGAGAAGCCCAAAGAGCCTTTGGGGTCTGAGAAAGGAGGGGCCACAGCCGGCCGAGAGCCAGGAAGGCTTTGTGGAGAAGGCAGCAGGGGCTTGGATCTGGACCTTGAAGGCTGGGCAGGATTCACCACAGAGGCAAGAAGCACATTCCAGTCGATACAACAGCCTGAGCTGCAGCTCAGAGGTGTGCACAGAGAACAGGAAGCAACCGTTACCCAGCCTGGGCCATCACGGACATGATGGAGAATAAAGAGAGGCAGGCCGTAGAGGTGGGTGTTGGTGGGGGGCCTCGAATGCCTAGCAACAGGGCTCGGATGCACTCAGAGGGCACTGGGGAGCCATCTATGGTGTTTGAGCAGGGCAGGGGTCACAGATCTGCTCTAGGAAGGAAGCCTGGTAGCAGGGAGTAAGACAGGGAAGAGAGAGGCTAATGCAAGGAGACCAGACAGTGTCCAGGAAAGGTGCAGGATGGCTGAGCTCTAGGAACTGCATGGAGAGAGAATGAAGGGGTGCAGGGCCTGAGAAAAGGATGTCAGAAGCCACGTCCACAGGGCTTGACCACTGATGGGCAGGTGCTGAGACAGAGAGGGACAGAGGGGAGCAGTGGATCCTGGGAAGGAGAGGGCCTCATTCGGAGCACGTTAGGCTGCAGCCACCACCTGGTAGTGAGGCACAGGCCCCCCGACCAGGGCGACATGTGGGGAACTGACAGAGTGGGCTTGGGCCTTTGGGGACAAACCATTTCAATTGCCAAGGCCTTCCCAGCTAGTCACCCGCAGCCAGACACCTCCAGACTCCATGTCCTCTCCCAGCCTCCCACTTCATTTACCTTCCACACTGTGTCTGGGGCACTAATTTCCTGTCCCCCACCTTCCCCCATGGCAGCTACCACTGTTTGCTCATTTGTCGTGGGGGAGACGGTTCCACCTCCATTCAGAATCCCACATTCACTGGCGCGCTTTCTCAGCCAGATGATATCACGCTGGGACTTTGCTGGCATCCTGTGACACACAGTGACCCCAGGGGTCTTGACCCTGGGGTTGGGGCTCAGCACTTAGCCTCATCCCAGAGCTCAGCCTGGTTTGGCGTGGTCTCAAAGCGTTTCCCAAACCCCAGGTCAGGACATGTGCCGTGGAGAAGGGCTCCTGTGGCAGTGTGGAGTCCAAATAGCAGGTTCTGGGGCTTTCCTGCCATTTATAGGTACCGGCAGTATCAGATATGCCAATCTGAGGTGCGTCCCCAGAGGAGATGAGGAGCATCTGCATATGTTGAGCAGAGGCCTCTCCAGACCGCCTTGGCTGTGGGTGGTGGTCCCATACCACGGGGCCCCGGCTCCCCTGCTGCAGACACAGTTCAGATTTGAGTGATGTGTGGAAGCCACAGGCTCTGTGTCCCGCACTCAGATACCAAAGAGCAAGGCCTGCCCCTTTCGACCTGTGGGTCCAAGGGTTTGTGTTTCTGGCACGTGGGGATGGTGGAGGCAGCAAGGGTAGGCCTGAGGGACTGGCAGGACCCCCGCCACCTTGGGCTGCACCCCAACCCCATGCAGCAGGAGTCAGCCTTGCCAGGTTGCAGCACGGAACTGCACTTCCTGAGCTTTTAGGGGAAGAGGCACTCGTGAATAATTCAGCCTCTTTCGCTGAGATGAAAACGCCCTAATAGAACTAATGGACTCGCTGCCTCAAAACTCGAACCTGGTGGGACTCATCTCATTCACCAATTGCTTCTGACGTCCTGCAGTGACACTCCCTAATGAAAAAGCCGCCGTGCCAGATCCTTAGAGCGTCTGGTGATCCCTAATAAACTAGACTGTGGCTTTTTTAACGAGCAGACGCCCCCCCGAAGGCAGGTGAGTCCTCCCTTCAGCCCCAGGACCGGATGCAGCTGCTACCCTCCTAGGGGAGATGCCGCTTGGGGGCACGCATCCGCGGGAATGAAAACAGAGGAGACGATATTTTGGGGTGGTTTTGTCTGATCTGGAATTAGACCCTCTACGTTTTTTCAAAGCAGAAGACCTCAAAAAAGAGCCAGCCTGAGGTAAACTTGGAATGACCGTGATGGACGGGGTGGTGGACGGTGGGTTTCAGCCAGGCAACGCCTCTCGCTTGAGCCTGCTCACAGCCCAGACCTGCCTGAGGCTGACCGTTTTCGCTGTTTTCCCGTCTGCGGGAGACACGGGCGTCTAGCTTGTACCTCGCTGTGTTCACCGTTGATTAAGATTCAGCATTTTCCGGTTTTGCCCAGAGCACTGTTGGGGAGGTTTGGTCTTGTCTGAAATGTCTGTGCAGGAAGCACGTGCTGAGGGAGCCGGGGGCTGCTTGTTTGGGCCTCGGTTTGCTGGTTGTCCTTGAGCGAAAATCATTGTGTTTGCACTGATGCAATGCCGTGCGTTGTAGAACCGCACCCCGGAATGGTAGCTGCTCCCCTTCCATTTCCGCTTTGGAGAACTTTGGCTGGGCTCTCTGCTCTCTGGACAGGTGTCACCATTCAGAAGAGAAGCTCAGGATTCCTTCTCAATCTTATGATGTATGCTTTGTTGGCTTTCAGTAAACAGAACAATTCAGAAATTCCAGGTAGAGGAGTCTGGGGGGAGGTAGTGATTCCTACTGACTTAATGAGGTTAACATCTTCCTTGCATTTTTCCATGTCACGGTGTTAATTCACATGAATTCCCCTGGGCCCCTGACCTACAAGAATAGATTTGCACAAGGCAGGCCCAGCCCAGGAAAGAACCTGTAGGTGCCACGTAATTAGCAGTGGCTATTGAGGAGGGGCTTGTTTTTCTTGGTACCAGGGTGGTGAGGAAGTGTCAGGGCTCAGAGACCCTCACTCTGGAAAGCGGCCGGGATCTGGGATATTTTGAATTAGAAGTCAGGGTCACTGTGCTCTTGAGCGCAGGAGAAGTGGGGACCCTGAGGCAGGAGCCCGACAGCGGGGCTGCTCCCTCTTCCCTGCAGGGTCTTACTGGGGCCCCTTCATCCAAGGACCTAACGCTGCTAGAGTCTCCTTCAGCAAAAGCCCGGCATAGAGCCCCAGTGTGAGGGAGTGCAGAGGAGCCGGCCTTTGTCCTCTGTCCCCAGGCACCGCTGGTAACGGGCAGAGCCCCTTTGCCTTCTGCCTACTCCCATCCTTCTTCCCCTGAAGCAGCCCTCCCCAGAGTCATGACCCTTCAGGACCACAGGGAGCCCCCACTGTGCAGAAGGATGCAAGTTCTGGCATGGGAGCCCCCTCCGCTACACAAGAGAGGGCGACCTGCAGACCGCTGGGTCTGAGGTAGGAAGCCAGCCCCACCCCCATCAACGGCTGCCTGGCACTGCTGGGAAATGCCCAGGTATAGCTCTGATTGGCCTTTTGGAGCCTGGGCTTTGGTTACTGTTCTACAAGTATCTGAGCCCCTCCTCTGTGCATGGGGCACTCTCGTGGGCACTGGGCAGGGGGCAGTGGCAGCAGGCAGAAGGGTCCTTGCCCTCCTGGACCCAACCTTCAGGGGAATCCAGCGGCCGTGGACCCCTCATGGCACCAGCCCTGCTCCTCACCCCTCCACCCCATGCCAAAGGCTGCCATTTCTGTGCCCACAAGTTCCCTGGCCCAAGCCCTACCCTGGCACCATGGGGATAAGCTTGCAGCAAGAGGCTCTGGGCTCCCTCCATGCCGCAGGGCCCCCACCTGCTGGCCTGCTCCCAGGGCTGCGAGATGAGCTCTAAGGAAAGATTGCAAGCAGGCCCCCACAGAGCTGCCCTCTCTCCCTTCTCCCACCCACATCCCCACACTCGGCCCTCCACCATCTTGTTGGGAAGGGGGCGATTATTCGCATCTGTGTTCTCTCCCGTTAAGCATTTTCTAGGGAGATTTGGTGTCTGTGTGGCTCACTCCTCTCACTCAAGCCTATGGTCACAAGTTCCTTCCCGCCCTGCCTGCTGGCCCCTGCTGGTGGATTTTTCTCTCCACGGCATTTATCATAATTGGTGTCTTATCCCACGCCCCCCCAAGAGACTCGCTCCCTGCTGCATCACCAACTCCCACCCAGTTGTCCAAAGCCTCATCTCACGCAGCCCACAGCAGCCTGGTACAACAGGCCTCTGCCCAGCCCACCTCACAGATGTGGAGGCTGAGGCCAGGAGCGGTCAAGGTGCCTGCCTGGGTCACACCATGAGCAGGTGACAAGCAGAGCTGTCCCTGTCCAGAAGCTGGGCACTCAGCCACCCTGTCCTCCCACCCCAGGGCCTTGGCTGCATTTCCAGAGCCAAACCAGACCCAGGTTGCTTTTCATGAGTCATGTCTTGAAAGCTAATGACTATTGATCTCAGCCTGGTCGGGCCAGGCAGGGAACTTGCATGTCTGAGGCTGGTCCTGCCTTTCAGAAAGAGCCCTGCGGCTGCAGCCTGCCCAGCTGGCCTTCTTTCTAAACACAGACCTCAGGAAAGCAAGGGTTGGCCCCCATTTGCCCCACACAGGGCTGGCAGCCGGCCACACGGCCATCTCAGAAGCAGCTGCCTGCCGCGCGCATGGAGGGAAGGGAGTGGCCGGCCAGTAGGCAGGGAGGGGAAGCTGGTGCTGCTGTCTGTGGGTGCCAAGGGCCTCATTTCCTAAGATGAACCTCTCCTGGATTCCGGGCCTCTCTGCCCTCCAGAGCGATTCTCCCAGAAGGCAGAGGGTTTTCCGTGCCAGGGCACCTGCCTGCTTCAGCGTCCAGAGGTCCAGCAGCCACCATCCCTTGCAGCGTAGAAATGAGCAGTGGTGAATGCAACTGCTGGCATGGGAACCCCCCAGCAAGAGAGGGCGACCTGCAAAGAGCCCCTGGGCCTGAAGCAGGAAGCCAGTTGTGTCCCCGCCAGCTGCTGTCCCGGCACTGCCGGGAAATGCCCAGGTATAGCCCTAGTTGGCCTTTTGGAGCCTGGGCCTTGGTTTCTGTTCTACAAGTATCTGAGCCTCTCCTCTGTGCACCAGGAGCACTCCTATGGGCACTGAGCAGGCAGCAGTGGCAGGAGGCAGAAGGGTCCCTACCCTCCTGGACCCAACCTTCAGGGGAGTGAATTCAGCACATAGGACAGCTAGAAAGGAATCTGCAAGGTGGATGATGGCGAGCGTATTGGAGACAGATCACAGCAAGAAAGAGGCACGTGGCATGGTGTGCGTGGGGCGGAGAGTAGGATGGGAAGCACAGGCCCCCTGGGAGCCATGCCCGTCAGACAGAGGTGCAGGCTGTGAGTGACCAGCACGGCAGGCTCCCTGAGGACAGCTGGCTGCCCGCTTTTGGGGAGGGAGCCATCCAGCCCTGACCAGGGTGGTGGGGCTGAGGCCTGTGTGGACACTGCTACCATCTCCCTGTAGGGGCTCCTCGGGGGCTCCTTGCCAGCTGGTCTCTCTTTCTTCTCTGAGCCCACCTTCCCCACCTCAATTGCATGTTCATGCAACAGGCATTCGTAGGCTCTGGTCTGAGCTAGGCCTCATGCTGGGCACAACAGGGCAGACATGAATGATGGTCCCTTCAGATAAGATACAGACAAATACTTGCAGGGAAACCTCCAAGAAAGAGGCAGCTGTGGGGCTCCTGGAGGTGGTCCCCCTCTCTGGGTGCACATATGGGCAGAGCAGTGAAAGGTCAGCAGGCCGGTCACCCATTCTGGAAGGACCCTGGTACATGGGGCTCATCACAAACTCCTGCCCCTTATGGGTCCTTCCTTTGGCCCCTGGAGCTCACCCCAGGAAAGGCCCAGCCTAGGGCAACTCCAGGACATCTCAGCCCCCTTCAAGGACCATGCTAAAGCCTCTGTAGCTGTCTCAGCTCCCAGGATAGCCCTCCCAGCTCCTTCCCAGGGATAATCGAACTTTTCCTCTCTTGGGGCAGAAGTTGGGGACAGTGCTGGTTCCTTTGCAGTTCCCAGGCCAGATTCCAGGATCCCCCTGTACAGCTGACCCAGCTGAAATGGTGACTTCCCCTCTGCACCTTCTCTCTCTGGCAATGACGCAGGGCTGCGGTGCAGTCCACCTGGGCCATGGCCCAGGCTGCAGTCAGGTGGGGTGAGGGTCACTGGACTAGGGACCTCCTTTGTGTTGAGCCTGCCTCCATGTCCTCATTGCCCTGTCACAGACTCTGCAGGGTGAGGACTCAGCCCCGAGGCTGCCCTCACTGGTCCAGTCACTGTTGTGCACGTGAATTAACACCAGTGGTTGAGTTCTGGACGCATGCTTTCTCCCTTGGCCTGTTAATTGTCCACTATCTCTCAGGGCTCACTGCACATCAGTCTATGTTGAGATGCCTCATTCTTGACAGCAGCATAAATTCCCACTATGTGGATGGACTGTCACTTAGTCAACCAGTTTCCCTATTGATGGACATTTACATTGCTTTTAGTTTCCAGGAATGTGCGTTCATCATTTCAGCTGACTATTTAGCAACGGTTCTTCACATAGAATCTTTGAAACTCCCCTGTCCCAACTAAGCCTATTTCCCCAGGCCACTCTCATCTGCAACCTGCTTAAATGCATTCTGCTTGGTTGTTCTTTTGCAAAAAGCATGAAGCCCAAAGATCTCTGCGGTGCAATGATGCTTTCAACAAACAGGGAATGTGTTGTATAGATAGCATTTCCCTTTACAAGGCTAGGAGCAAATAAGACCTTCCCGGGTTGGGGCCACCTGGCATGCGGGGGTGAGGTGCCTCCCTGGCATAATTACAGGAGAGTTTACTTCAGCAACAGTTGTGCCCTGCGCTGCTTTCCCAGGGACAGCTTTACCCTGGAAACCACTTCAAGAGAGCACTGTGATGTGGTACCACAGTCACCACGGAAAATCAACCCTGGTCTTCAGCATTTGGGGGGCTCAGGCTCTGCATGCTCTCTGTGCTCCCATTTTCATTTGGACACTTAGGGTGCAGCCGTCCTGTCTGGAATGCAGCTTTGCCTGTGCTTGTCTCACAGATGCAGGGGGCAGAAAAGGGCAGCTTAGCCAGAGTTCCTGGGAAGCACTGCTTTGCGGACTGAGAATCTCATGCCAAGAGATGTTTACATCCAGGGGCTGGGTCCCACTCCTAGACACCAAGACCTCCTGGTGGCGACACTAGTTAGAGGATGTTTCACTGCAGCTGCCCCCTGCCCCAGGGCCAGCCATCCAGCCTGGGGCGCGCGGGGCATTGGCACACTGTCTAACTCATCACCGTCTGGACAGTGGCGGCTCCCAGGCCAGGCGGCACCATGCTGTCCATGACGTACAGCGAGAGTCTGCGGAGCGTGAGCAGCAGGTGCCACTCTGAATGGGCCCTGCATCCCGTCCGCCAGACGGACACGCTGGAACTGCAGCGGCTGCGGGAGGTGCGGGCGGCTGCCCAGGCCAGGAACATGGAGAGCTTCCTCCGCATGCACGGCCTCTCCCTGGACGGCTGCACCGCCCAGCGCACAGGCATGAAGTATCGGTAAGGGCCGGGCAGGGGGGATTGGGGTGGGAAGTCTGATTTCAGCCATGTAAAAATGTATAAAAGGGCCTGGCACGGTGGCTGACACCTGTAATCTCAGCACTTGGGGAGGCGGAGGCGGGTGGATCACCTGAGATCAGGAACTCGAGACCAGCCTGGCCAACCTGGTGAAACACCGCCTACCAAAAATACAAAAATTAGCCAGGCATAGTGGGGCGCACCTGTAGTCCCAGCTACTCAGGAGACTGAGGCAGGAGAATCGCTTGAACTCAGGAGACAGAGGTTGCATTGAGCCGAGATCACACCACTGCACTCCAGCCTGGGCAACAAGAGCGAGACACCATCTCAACAACAACAAAAATATATAAAAGAAGAAAATGAGGCCAGGCATGGTGGCTCACGCCTGTAATCCCAGCACTTTGGGAGGCTGAGGTGGTTGGATTGCTTGAGCCCAGAAGTCCAAGACCAGCCTAGGCAACATGGCAAAACCCCATCTCTACCCCAAAATACAAAGAAATTAGCTAGGCATGGTGCCATGCACCTGTAGTCCCAGCTACTTGGGAGGCTAAGGTGGGAGGATTACCTGAGCCCAAAGAGTTTGAGGGTGCAGTGAGCTGTGATCACACCACTGCACTCCAGCCTGAGCAACAACGTAAAAAGTGAGACACTGTCTCAAAAAAAGAAAAAGAAAAAGAAAGTGAAAATGCCATAGTCCTATCCTATCAAAAGAAAAGTCCTATGAAAAGTTTGGGGCCAGGCGCAGTGGCTCACACTTGTAATTCCAGCACTTTGGGAGGCCGAGGCAGGTGGGTCACTTGAGGTCAGGAGTTCAAAACCAGCCTGGCCAACATGGTGAAACCCCATCTCTACTAAAAATACAAAAATGGGCTGGGCGTGGTGGTGCGCACCGGTAGTCCCAGCTACTGGGGAGGCTGAAGCAGGAGGATCACTTGAACTTGGGAGGCGAAGGTTGCAGTGAGCCAAGATCACACCACTGCACTCCAGCCTGGGTGACAGAGTGAGACCCTGTCACGCAAAAAAAAAAAAAAAAAAAAAAAGTTTGGTAAATTCTCCATGGGATAAAAATGTGTGGGGGTGTTTCTCCATGGGGGAAAAATGTGTTTCTGGGTGTTGGAGCCCCCTGCTCTAAATGATAGGCACATAGGTCTGAATTCACTTGGAACCGCCACAGGACTTTCTTTTCAGTGCACTTGTCTCTGAATTCAGCACCTCGGACAGCGCTCTGCCAGCCGCCATTCTCTGTGGTGTAAATCCCTGTCAATTGCAAATTGACAGCTTTATCTTCTGTGCCTCTCAGGAACATGCCCTTGTGAGAGCCAGTCAACCAAAGGGGACCCTCCCCACCCAGGCCTTGTAGAGTTGCCAGTTAAATTTGAAGTTCAGATAAACAGCGAGTAACTTTTTAGCATAAACATGTTCCATGCAATATTTGGGACATAACTTACACTAAAAAGCTCCTCGTTGTTTATCTGAACTTCAAATGTAACTGGGCGTCCTGTGTTTTATCTGGCAACACTCAGTCTCTGGCTTCCATCTGAGACAGACCCCAGGGATCATCTGCGTGCTCTCTGCAGAGTGGAGTGCAAGCCGGGACTGCTCCTTTAACGTTTTCTCCTGTGGACAGCATGTTTAGTCACACCATGAGCAGGTGACAACCAGAGCAGCTGGTTGTCATTGTTTGAATATGTGGTTGTAATTTGAAGAAACGAAACACTTCTGCTGTGAGTCCATTAGATGGCAGAGTTTTTCAGGCTTTGTATCCTAAATCCAGCTGTAAAGGAAGGACAAAGGGTCCGCTAGTTCGGCCACAGCTGACCTCCTCGTTCTGCTGGAAATTTCTCAAGAAGGAGACACTGTGCATTCATGACGGGCTAGTCATTGATTCCTTTTGTTTATTCAGTAAATGTTTATTGAGAGTCTGCTTGGCACCAGGCGCTGGGCCAGATCCTGGAGCTGCTGCATGAACAAGATTAACCAGGTCCCCACCCTCACTGCAGCCATGGCCTGGGGGGTGTGGGGGGCAGAGAAGCAGCGAGCTCACACGGAGACAAGTTCCAACAGTGGCCACCGGCCAAGGCAGCAATGCAGGACAATGCAATAAAGAGAAACCAGGGAGGCCAAGGGGGAACCCTCTGAGAGAGGAATCGTCTAAAGATGTGGAGAACATTCCAGCCCAAGAGGAGAGGGGTCTGGAATGGATGCCTCTCTCAGTTGGAGGAGCGAAGAGAAGGCCCAGGCGGCTAGGCTGGAGGGAGGAAGGTGGAGGACACAAGACGCTGACGCAGGAGGGGCCAGACCCCATCCTCCAGACTCGGGGGAAACCTCAGCTCCCTCCAATGTGGGCAGGATTTGTGATGAAGGAGAGTTTAGTGGGTTAAATCAAGACCCCCAAAATTCACATTCATCCTAAACCTCAGAATATGACATTAGGCTGGGTGTTGTGGCTCATGCCTGTAATCTCAGCACTTTGAGAAGCAGCCTGGTAAACATGGTGAAACCCCATCTCTAAAAACGATCAAAAAATTAGCCAGCCGTGGTGAGACGTGCCTGTGGTCCCAGCTACACAGGCGGCTGATGCAGGAGGATCACTTGAGCCCAGGACTCCAATGCTGCAGTGAGCCCTGTTTCTGCCACTGCACTCCAACCTGGGCCACAGAGTGAGACCCTGTCTTAAAAAAAAGAAGAAGGAGAAGAATGTGACATTATTTGGAAATAGGGTCATTGCAGATATAATTAGTTAAGATGGGGCAATGGGGCCATTCGAGAATAGAATGGACCCTAATTCCTATGACTGGTGTCGTTATAAGAAGGCCATGTGGTGACAGAGAGAGGAGCAATGGGTCCACAACCCAAAGAACTCTGAGGAGTCTCGGTGTTACCAGTGGAGGGTGTCCATCTTGAACAAAGAATTGGACAAAACGCACATACAAAGCAAGGAAAGAAAGAAGCAACAAAAGCAGCCGGGTGTGGTGGCTCACGCCTGTAATCCCAACAGTTTGGGAGGCCAAGGCGGGTGGATTACATGAGGCCAGGAGTTCAAGAGCAGTCTGGGCAACATGGCAAAACCCCATCTGTACTAAAAATACAAAAATTAACCAGTCGTGGTGACTCACACCTGTAGTCCCAACTATTCGGGAGGCTGAGGAAGGAGAATCACTTGAACCTGGGAGGTGGAGGTTGCAGTGAGCCGAGATCAAACAAAAGTACACTCCACAGGATGAGAGTGGGCAAGTGGCTCAAGAACCTGGATACAGAATTTTCTGATGTTTAAATACCTTCTAGAGGTTCCCCATTGGTCACTTGGTGTACACCCTATGTAAATGAAGTAGTGGCCTGTGATCATTCTGATTGGTTGCAGAAAGTGACCAATCAGAAGCTGAAGTGAAGTTACAAAGTTACACTTCTATGCAAATGAAGACTTGGCCCACGACCAGCCTGATTGGTTGCAGGAGGGGACAAATCAGAAGTATCTTCCATTTTTCATCTGCCATGCAGAAAAGGGGGCACCATGCAAAGAGAGTAGCCTCTGGTTCTTTTGTTACTTGGGCATGGAAAGCTGGGGTTTTCCTTTTGACTTAGTTCTAGAAAGTCAATGGGAATTGGCCTTCAGTTCCCTGCCTCCAGACCCTGGTCTCCTGCCCCACCAGGAGCCACCAGACGCTAGAAGGGGCAGGAAAGGACACCTCACTAGGGCGTTTGGAGGGAGCCCTGCCCACACCTGGACTTCAGACTCTGGAAGTGGGAGAGAAGACATTTCTGTTGTTCTAAGTCCTCTAATTTGGGGTTCTTTGTAATGGCAGCTGCAAGGAACTAGCACAGGTGAGGAGGCCATGTCTTTTATTTGCCTGAAGCCCCAAGGAAAATGTCTGAGCAGCCTCAGAGACACTGCAGGACCCACTGTGGGGCTGAAATGCCCTTGGGGATCTCCCTTCTCAGGGAGTGGAGGAGACGAGAAGGCAAGGGACCCCTTTTTTTTTTTTTTTTTTTTTTTTTGAGTTTGGGTTTCACTGTATCGCCCAGGCTGGAGTGCAGTGGCACAGTCTTGGCTCACTGCAACCTCTGACTCCCAGGTCCAAGCGATTCTCCTGCCTCAGCCTCCCAAGTAGCTGGGACTATGGGGATGCACCACCACACATGACTAATTTTTGTATTTTTAGTAGAGGCAGAGTTTTGTCATGTTGACCTCGCTGGTCTCAAGCTCCTGACCTCAGGTGATCCGCCCACCTTGGCCTCCCAAAGTGCTCGGATTACAGGCATGAGCCACCTCACCCCACTGACAAAGTCCCTTTAGCAGTTGATGGGCCAAAGGTTGTTACACCCAGGTCTGGGTGAAGGGAGGTGGGGAGAGTGGTGGCCTCACTCTATCTGGTGAATTTCATTTTGCTGCACCCAGGTTGGTAGGGGGTGAGTGGGGTGCTCCGTGACTCAGACCACCAGTTATTAAAGATCCCAGATAAATTTATTCCGTGGTGACCTCTTCTCCGTCAGCAACTGGGCTGGGTCTCCATTAAACTTGGTCTTAAATATGAGTATAGAAAAGATGATACCTGGGGATCGGCACTGCCCAGTGCTGCAAGGAACCAGCTGTTCCCCTGGCCTGGGCGTTTCATCAGCTGAACTGAGCTCCAGCTGGTGGAGGTGGCCAGTAGCATTCCTGTTACACTTCCTCATTTTTTTTGAGACAGAGTCTTGCTCTGTCGCCAGGCTGGAGTGCAGTGGTGCAATCTCGGCTCACTGCAACCTCTGCCTCCCGGGTTCGAGCGATTATCCTGCCTCAGCCTCCTAAGTAGCTGGGACTACAGATGCGAGCCACCATGCCTGGCTATTTTTTGTATTTTTAGTAGAAACAGGGATTTCACCATATTGGCCAGGCTGGTCTCAAGCTCCTGACCTCAAGTAATCCACCTGCCTCCGCCTCCCAAAGTGCTGGGATTACAGGCATGAGCCACCACGCCCAGCCTACACTTCCCCATTCTTTA